CAGCAGGAACAGCGGTGGGAAGCCTTCAGTGAAATATTCTGCAGTTATTAAAATTGATTTAGCAGTCAATAAGTGGAATCATATGCAAACTTTTCCATTTCAAATGAGGTTTCCATTCCACTCCTACAGCAGCACTAATGTCCAGATGGAAATAAACCACTAAGTGACCAGATCTACTTCATTTTTACTTACAGGTATCAAAAGACACCACAGATATGAACGAACAACGTAAGACAGCTCTACAAAACTGATAGTCACAACTACCAAAAACTGAGGAAACTCAAACCACTGAAGGCAGAGGAACCGACTTCTGAGATGCTGAATACGTGAGATTTCCACTGATAAAAGGCAGAACTGCAGCTCAATCCCAGTAAAAAGCACGTTGTAAAGTGACTTGACCTGTGATTCATGCATTAATCAAGGTGAAACAGGAATAGAATAGAGATGGCCAGTTCCTTAGTCTGCTATTATGTAGGAGATGACACTGCTTGCCTTCATACTGCCTGCCTTTCCTTTGAACTTAATAGCCAAGATCTCTAGGTGAGCTTTCCTTTTGTGGATTGCAATAAAAGAAATAAAAGATCCAGCTTCACTTTTTCCTTACACAATTACATTTACATATACATGTTGTAAAGTGGTCTTAATAGAAAAGGCATAAAAGAATGAATCAAAGAAAAGAGACCCTAGTGTAACATCTATTATACCTTTTACAAGTACTGGGATTTTACGCAGCTGCCTTTAACGTATGGTTTCATATACACAAAGACATTTCATGTGTACTAAAATGAAAGGTCTTACATTTTATTCAAATCTTAAAAATAGAATGTCTTTTTAAGATAACTTTGTATTTTTGATTAGCTAATTCTTAAAACATCAGGAAAAATATCATCTACCCTAAGTTGCATAATTTCCTGCATGTAAGTATGGTGAAGCTTGACAGAAATCTCAGCTGGTAGAGTGATGTGGATAAACATGACATTACCACTTATCAATAAACTGACAGCTAGGAAGCTAGGATTAAGCATGTTAACCTCAAACCCCAAAGGTACAAGAAGACAATCCTGGCTTTTGCATTAAATTTTTCAGAGCCAGAAAGATACGTTTATAGAGTATTTCTGAAATTAAATGAGCTCTTTTCTTATTTATCAAGTACTGGAACATTTCAATGACACCTTCTTCCAAATACTGTTCTAAAGTTGTTTATATGTACACTTCAGAGATGAACAATTACTTTTAAAAAATCAGTGAATATTTATTAAAATTCATAAAGGACTCACTTCAGCTTGACCCATATTCTTTTCAGATTTCATCTCTATGAGCATTTGAGTTTCATTGAATTTTACCATGAAAATGATTACAGAGCATGTATTTTTAAGTCACAGGTGCAAGCATTCACACAATATTAAATGTGGGACATTATATGAATGAAAAGAACTATGCGAATTAGTTGATTAAAAAAAGAAAAATGAGAAAATAATGGCAGACATAGCTTTAAAAACTCAGCTCTGGTATCTTTTTTTCACACATAGACAGAAGAATCACGGTGGTTATTTTTACTTCCTTCATATGCAGGTTAATGGCCACCAACACCTCAGCAGAAAGCACACTGGGCATAGCAAGTGTCCTTATCACATTGCTGTAGAGGCTTGAGGGACCAAGCAGGGACACTATAGGCAGGGTGGCCAGATGAAATGATGCTTCAGTGCCCTGAGCAGAGTTTGCCTGTGCCCAGGGGAGAGAAGCTGCAATGTTAGGACGCTCAATGATGAGTGAAAGATGGCAGCATTCTCCCAATAGTTATCCAACAATGTTCCCAACCTTCATTACCTCAAGGGCTCGTCAACCATCCCAAACATGTAACTAGCCAGAATGGGTAGTTATTAGCTTTGGAGGTAAGCGCTCCTTGTATATCAGCCCAGGAGAAGTTCAATACAGTCATAATTAATTGGACTGCAGAGGCAAAATTAAAATAACAGCTGTAGTAGGCACTCAAATTTTTTGGTGGCAGGCATAGCTGTCTCAGGTTTGGGTGTCACCACAGCCTTGTGTTCTCAGGAACATCTGTGTTCCTTCCTTTAAACCCATCAGGTCTCCCTGTGGCAAAATGGAGCTGCAGCACAGACAGATACATAGCTGTAGAGGATACATCTGCTCCTAAAAACTGCTGAAGAAGTCCTGAAGCCTAAATTAGGGAAGGTCTGAAGAGATTTTCACCTTCAAGAAGTGGGGTTGGTGTAAGGTGAGTTATGAACAGATGAAGCATCAGACTTAAAGTCCTAAAGGAAAGAAATTTTCAAATTGAAGATCTTTTTTTTCCCCTCATTAAAATATTCACAGAATTTTCATTTTATTTTCTTAAAGATCTCCAGTAAGAATCCCTGTTTGGAAAGGACTTTGTCACATACAACACTTCCTCAGAAGATTCTGCTTGGAAGTGAAGGTTCTCACAATCATTTTGATTGGATTATTCACTAATTACATTTATGTCTCATCTCCTATTCTCTTTATTGTTACTATAATGAAGTAAGGTGAGAATGTGCGATTTCTTGTCAAGCTCCATCAAGGGAATATGCTGAGGTGGGTGCTAACCTGGGACTCCTGCAGAACTTGCAATTATTAAATATGGTTTTGTTGCCTGAGTCACTGGCAACAACTTCTTCACCTCAGTGATCAGAAAGGATTACATTCAAGTCTGTGTCGGCTAAAACAATGCTGGTTACAGTGCCATTGCCAAAGCATTGTGGAGGCTGAAGGAGGAAGAAGAAAAAAGTGATACCAAGACATGGGGAAGGACAATAGAGGTCACTGCACACAAAACAGAAGACAAAAAAAGGAAGAAGATAAGCAAAGGAAAAATAAAGCAGAGAAGCACAAAACCACAGGTGATAAGAAGCATTTTCTCCTGAAAAAGTTGACACAGTGGGAGAAGATGGATACAGCTGTGATAATACAGAAGAACTGAAAACAGCCAATGTAATGTTGAAGATAATAAAGTTCAGAGCATAGTCTGATATAATTATTTGCTCTTTAAAGTGCAACACCATGTAAAAAACACAACTCTAGATCAGAAATCCATCATGTTACTGCAAACACAATAAAAACATCTTCTGTCCTTATAATCTGTATGGAGTGTTTTGCTGGAACAGACAGTTACGGTGGTTTACTGATTTCCAAAATTAATCATGTAGGCAGATTTTGTCCTGGACAATCAAAAAATAATTGTAAGTTAAGCTCTGTAATTTAAAGTTAGTAATTATACAGTAATTTCATCCTTATCACCAAGATAGCCAAATACCATTCAGGTGTGCACTGAATGCAGTGACTCAGGCCAATGCAGACCGAGGCTCTGCTGGTATCCCAGGGCCACAGAGCAGGCAGAGCATAACCTAGTGGGAAAGTGTATCTGCAAGTCTTTTATTCCAGCTCCCTAATAAAAATATGCTGTAGTGGCAAAAGTGCGGATTTGCTGATGAAAATCTGCACTAAACTGGAGGTTTCTTGTACCAGAGCTGTATTGCTTTTGCCAGTAACACTCCAGCAAATGCTGATTAAAAATTTAAAAAGCTCATATGAAGACACGAATTGTCATTCGCTATGCACGGTTTGCACACTCATGCACTCTTTTCTCAAAGGTACAGCTGAGAAGCCAGTGTAGTTTTTGTTTTGTTTTGTTTGCATGTTAGCTAACTACTTATGCTTCTAGGTATGCTTATTATGGAATGAGTAAATGATTTCCACTAAGCAACTCTTTAAGCTACCAGAACTCTTACAACTATTTTAAGCTCTTGTATATGCTGAAGAGCCTTATTTCAGGATAAATGGGAGGAACAAGTAAGCATCAGTATACATATGGAGAAAGCTGGATGCAATAGGAGATACTAGACGTTTCTTTAATGGTAAGCATTGCTGCAGTGCTCAGACAGTAACTGATGGGTGAATTATATTGTAGCTGTAACTGGAAAGTCTGATCAGAAGCTGAGCCATGTAGTAGAAGTGAGCCAACAGCTAGGAAAAAAACAGCATGAAAAGCTGTGTAGGTAACCCTAAGGGGGAGCTGAGAGACTAAATTCCCTGGTTAAAGAACACATTACATAGGAAAGCTGGGGGACTTTTGATGGAAGAAGACACTGCCATCTGTGTTCCTCTTTACAGAAAAGAAGGAGTACACAACATCTAATAGGCAAATTACCATTTTCTCCTCCTAACAAAAGCAAACCAGTCCCAAATACTGGTCACAGGGATATCAACTTTTTGGTGAAGAGGGGTGGACAAAACAGGATTTACAGCAGAGGTCACGGAGTACAATATCTATGACTGCCAGACACATGTTCTCGAATTAATTAGAATGAGGTAATACTAGAAAATTGCAGAACAATGTCAAGCATGTAAGAGAGGGAGAGATTCATTTCTACTCATTTAATTATAGTACCAGGTAAGAACAACCTTTTTATCTACCTTACCTCATCAAGACATCTTTCATACTGTTCTCTCTGATTTTCATTTTCCAGAGCCAGTGCTGAATTCTCTGCCTACAGTAAAACAGAATAAATAAACACATATGTAAATTAATCAAAGGGTATCTCGTACTACATGACAATTCATAAAAATTCTCAGGGCACCTACTTTATGTACTTCTTCAAGATCCAGAATAAAAAGCACCATACAATTTATTTTGCTACAAGTAGGTATTTTGAGTAAAAACAGAAGCAGCATTCATTTATGAGATTATTCACACCATGCATTACAACTTAGAACAATATCAGAGAAGATATTCCAAGTATGTCCATGATCTCATCTTGTCAGGTGCAACAGAGTTGGCAATGAAACATTGTAAAAGACATTGGTATATCTTTTCTTCCTCGCTCTTTTCTGTTCAGAGTGAACTGGCTCTCTGAGAAAGCCACTTAGAAGTAAACAGAGGCAGCAACTATCAAAAGGAAACAAAAGGCAATTTTATGTAAACTTGTAACTGTGGCAGCTCTTTATAAGCCAGGTTTCTGCAGTGGGTAGCTCCAGATGCACTGGTCATACTACAGCCAATTGGTGAATTACACCATTTAACTGAACCACAAAAATATATTAGTCTTCACCTAAAAAACAATTCCTACCATTTCAAGAGTAAGGGAGGTATATTACTACATCTAAATGCAATATTAAAGTCAGAAATTTCTTCTCTCACATATGTCAGTATGATAGTTTCCTGGATAGCAGTGCCTTTCATCTATCTTTAATTTCCATTACACTCATACTTTTGTGAAGTGCAAAATTCAAAATGGCACAATCTGGTATGTAAATTACAGTAAATTAATGTATTTTTCTATATATTAAGACTTGACTTTAAGAATTCTTACTGTATTGAGAAAAAAAACCCTCTAAAGTGAGCTGTATACAGCCATATCAGAGCAAGTTTCAACCAGTCTTCTCTTAAAGACTGAGAAACTAAAACAATATATAAAAATCTATGAGTTAAAACTGGCTCTAGAAACCGTTCTATCTCCCATGCATAACTTCACATCACGTAATCATAACACCAAAATCAATGCATTCACATAATTACAACTATTATACAATTTACATAATTTGCTTCACTTCAATCTTCTGTCAACCTATGAAAGTTAAACAAATGCTGTTTCAAAAGAATTGTGGTTATACAAAAAAAGTCATAAATATAGTTAACATTTGTAATTTTAGAGAAAAAATTAACTTAATGTACAGTATGGAAAGATGCACAGTTCTCTGTTCCTTGTTAAGAAAAGTCAATGATTCAACAAAACGAAAATCCCTAAATCACAGAATCACAGAATGGTTTGGTTGGAAGGGACCTTAAAGACCACCTAGTTCCAACCCCCCTGCCATGGGCAGGGACACCTTCCACCAGACCGGGTTGCTCAAAGCCCCATCCAGCCTGGCCTTGAACACTTCCAGGGATGGGGCATCCACAGCTTCTCTGGGCAACCTGTGCCACTGCCTCACCACCCTCACAGGGAAGAATTTCTTCCTAATATCTGATCTAAACCTTCCCTCTTCCACTTTAAAGCCCTTGCCCCTTGTCCTGTCACTCCATGCCCTTGTCAAAAGTCCCTCCCCAGTTTTCTTTAGGTACTGGAAGGCTGCTACAAGGTCTCCCTGGAGACTTCTCTTCTCCAGGCTGAACAACCCCAACTCTCTCATAAATTGATTCATTAACAACACTTTCAAATTCAGCTAAATCCTAAAAACAAGATTAGGAAGAAAAAGTAAACATACTTAATTATCCAGCATATTGAAACACAGTAAAGAATAAAAGGGTGGTAAGAAACAAGGGCATATAGAGTTTACTTAGATACAAGTCTAAACAACTGTATGGAATCAGTGCTTTATCTTGAGGGTACAATCAAAGCCAACAAAGGTGGTAAAATGCTCTGCATCATAGTCACCTACCAATGGATTCAACATATGGCTATAAAAAGTCTATGGGTGATCCTGCAGAGAGCACTGTGAGACGAGGCAACAATAAACACAGCTGTGGAAGTAAGCAGCAAAGCAGAGGAAGAAGCCGCAAAAGCAAGTGCAGCAGTAAGAAATCAGAAGCTGGAGGGTAAATAGTCTTCCATACTGAAGAGGCTATCATATACAGTTATCAGTTTGCTTTTACAGATACATTCTTGCAGATTGATTGATAAAAATAAAGAGATGATTGCTACATAAAAATGTATTTCTAAGTTAAAGATTCTCAGGTGTTTTCTCTATGAATATCACCCTAAAATGCCACCCAAAATAAATTCTTCTTACTGTTTTGAAGCTATCATTAAAGGATTAGCCTGCACAGCCTTTAACTCACGCATGTGGTTATACCTATGGGTTTAATTTTTTTAATTTTCACTTTCACCAGCATAAAAATATATTGTATGATTTTATCCTAAAATAGTTAGCGCAGACTGCTCCCATACAGAGATGTCTAAAAGAACTACAGTACATAGTGTACTACACAAAATACCCAGAGAGCTCCCCATATTTCTCTTGTTTTTTCTGAATGCTGTAAGGCTGCAAAATGGAAGCGAAGTCTTCTTGGATCTATTAGCTGAATCTCTGATTTCAGTGAGCTATTCCTTTAGATATAAGCTACCAAAATTAGGAAATCTGAACTTGACAACATTATAAATAAATGTTGTATTTCCCCTCTTATCAAGCCACAGTGGAAACATCTGTATAATAAAGCCCTTTTTCACACCACTGGCTTCAAAAGTGCAGTGAAAGGATGTAATGCAGTCAATGTTAGCTTGACTTTTGTGCTTCTTGATTGCTGAGCAAATCATGCCTATTTATTTAGCATTTTTGCAATGAGGACTGGACTAGAAGGGAACACTTGACTGACTTTGCTTAAGATCCTGTGCCAGTTCCCACAACATGGGAAAACCAGTACTTGATACACTAAATCACTCTATATTGCAACTGAATACTTGATAATAATCCTCATTCCCCCAGAAGTATTCATTTGGAAAATTTGTAATCGCACTTGTGGTCTCAGAACCCTGCCTCCTAATCCAAACGTTCATTTATTTAACAGAAACCACTGTGTTTTGATGTTATTGTAAGTCTGCTCAATTTTAGCTCAGAGGGATCTGACTACCTCCAGTATTGCATATTCCAGGCATCTTTTGCCAGTTAAGCAAAGTAGGTCTCCTTGGAGGAAACCACTATTACATTTTATTTTCATTTTTATTTTCACGCCATACTCACACTAGGCTAAGCCACAATAAGAAGCCCACACTTCCCACAGCTTGAAAGCCATTGTGCACTTGCAGGGACCCAGAGGCAGTGGCAGAGAAGTACTGACCCCTAATGCAGTCACTTCCCCCATACATAACCGAGCAGGGGACTACGCAGGAAAAAAACTAGCTTACTGAGAACAGTACTCTTAGATATCAACTGATTTCTATAGTGATGTCTAGTTTTAGGGATAGCTGTCCTCTAGGAATTTATGTATATTTTATGTTAGGTATATAAATAAACCATCTCTGTCCCCAGCCTCACTAACACTAAAAGTGATGCAGCCCAGCAAACTGCTGCAGACAAGCGACATTCACCTGTCACCAGCGTCTACAAGCAAGCACGACTTTCTTTGGTGGTGGTCAACTCTGAAAGTACAGTATCATTCAGTCAGCCAAAAGTAACTGTGGCCTAATTTACCATTCAATGAAACATTACGTGTTGCTTATGGATCATTATAGATTGAAGGATCCTACAATGTCAAAACAGAGGTACTTCCTAGTTCCCATTTGGAAGAAAGTATTTTACCCAAGAGCCTCTCCAAACATTGGAAAATTTAAAGATTTCCATCATGAATTGGATAATGCTAAACAGCTTTCATCTGCCTAAATGAGAGATAGCTTTGTTCTGAACTGTGAAACTGAGTTTATGGAAAATCAATTTGAAAGTGAAAACTTCAGACTACTTTGTATAAAACAGAGGTTGCCTTGTATTTATACCATTGCTAAGATACAGTCACTACGAGAGACTTTGTCAACTCTGATTTTAATCCCTTTCTCAGGATGGAAAACGTAGCCCTAGTAACGATGAAAATTATCTCTAGGTCAGCTAAGAGCTTTCTCTCTCCTTCAGAGATGTTGAAGAACTCTCTGTATTTTCTCCTGCAGGGCAGCTGTTTGCTCGGTTTCATTCAAGGCTAGTAACAGACAGGCTACACGTCTGATGCACTGAGGTCCAGTCCTGCTCCAGCTGAAGTCAGTAACAATCTGCCATTTGTTACCCCAGAACGTAAGGGCAAGTCAGGTGCAACAAAATAAATTCTATTTGTTTCACAATATACCATGTTTCCTTAAAATTTCTTTGGTGCAAGAGGAAGTTCCTCGGTTCACAATGATTTGTTGTTCATTATGCTATAGAAGAAACAAGGAGACAGATGCAGTCTTAGCCTTTTTCACATTTCTATAAATGTGTTACATACTGGATCAGTAAAGGCAGGCCAATTAATTACAATTCTTAAAGAAATTTTTAAGTGGTCACAATAATTAACTTTAGTATACCCTTAACACCAAAAATCAGGAAGCATCCATTCAGGCAGTACAACCACCTAAACTTTAAATTCTTGTGAAAATGCATCTTCACCTAAAGTCTAAAATATGTCCTTAATGTGGTCATATTTACTTTTTTGGTAATGAACAATGAAACACACTACAGCTCTTTTTGTTATAGGAAAAAAACAAATACAAGCCCCCCCACCCCCACCCCATGCCCCAAAACAGAGGGAAATGTAGTCTCCCAAAAAGTATTCATTATCAGTAGGCTCTGAGCCAAAAACTGCTCTGCTCCTTTCCAGCTCACAGTCTTTTCCTGGGTTTACATGGTTAAAGCACAAGATCTCCCCGCAGTCTCATTGTGCCTGAGACTTTTTTGGGGTTCAGTCCTCACCTAGAGTCATAGATCATGGCACCTTTCAGCTGAACTTGCTGTAGGTGAACTTGCTTTGGCAGGGAGGTTGGACTAGATGATCTCCAAAAGTCCCTTCCAACCTCAACCATTCTGTGAT